TCACTTCCGCCGTGTCCACAGGCTCTCTGCTAGATAATGTCTATTATAATTGGTATTTATCTGCTATCATACAATATCTTCCTCATTACTATTACTGTATATTTTATTTTGATTATCTCAATTTAATTATAAAAATCTAGTGAGCGCAACATACAACTTTCACTTACCGCTCTACTTGAATACAAATTATTTTCTGATAATGTTATGCTATTATAAAATTTTTAAAGTGCATATTTAACCGAACTAAAGCTTAAAGCTTACAGTTAACAAATCATTAATACCATTCATTATAATAATAAAAATTCTATTTATTATATATCGATTATATCGACGGTTGATTATGGATTGTACGATCCGTTCACAGGCGGATTTACGGAGGGCGAGGGGCTTTCGGGCTGAAGCCCCCTCCCCCCCCCCAAAAAACGGTAAAATATAACCATGCTTTATAGAAAAAAATATTAAAAACTATCTCTTAAAGTATACTTGTTCGTGTAATTGTATTTAATAGGACTTCAAGAACCACTTAAATACCATTTCATATAGGTAATTAATTTCTTTATTTTTTTTTTCAAATTAATTATCGTTATATGTATATGAAAAAAAAAATCTTTCGGGCTGAAGCCCTCCCCCAAAAAATTAAATCCTGGATCCGCTAGTGCGATCCGTTAAGTATTGTACGACTATTAATTATTAAACTGTTTCACTAGCGGATCCAGGATTTAATTTTGGGGAGGGGACTTCAGCCCGAAAGCTTTTTTTTTTCATAAAAATGACGATAATTACTTTGGAAAAAAAGGAAATAAACTAACTGCCTACATGAAATGGTGTTAAAGTGATTCCTAAAGTCCTTTTAAATGTGAATACATGAACAATAATACTTTAAGAGATAGTTTTTTTATATTCTTTTCCATAACACATGGTTATATTTTACCATTTTGGGGGAGGGGAGGAGGCTTCAGCCTGAAAGCCCCCAGGTAGATCCGCCCGTGAATTCTTTAATTTACTAAAATGGAATTACGAGATTTGCATTGTCTGTCAGAGATAGGACAAAAGTTGTCATACTAATTGCAAGTGCACTTTACTTGTATTTAGGTTATTTTAATTTTTTTTATTGTATATAGTTTTTATTTATGATTATTTAGTTATTATTTTACTTTTGTTAATTTTATTATTATTTTTTTTTTTTTTGTATATACGGTGTGAATGTTTTCATTTATCAATATAATTATTGTCCCTGTGACAGAATATTATATGTCTAAATAAATAAATAAAAAAAAAAAAAATTGTAAGTGGATACTGTTGGGATATCACGAAGAGAAAATTCAACAAATTATTCACTAATTTAATTTACTAGAAGTTTACTTCATTATTTTTCGAAATAAACGGATGAGTTAACAAATCAACAACAAACGAAACAAATCTAGAGTTATTAAACTACAGTAAATGTATTTAAGATTACATGTCCATGAAATACTGTTGTATTTAACTTTTTATTTCACAAACATACAATGACATAGTATTTTTAACAATATCATTGCCTTGATTCAGTGGATTTTAAATACTTATTACTCGAATTAAAAAAAAATCTGGTGCGCGCAACACACAACTTTCACTTACCGCTCAACTATGAATAGAAATTTTCTGGTCATGTTGGGCTATTATAAAATTTTTTAATTGCATTTTTTAACTGAGCTTAAGCTAAAAAAATGCAGCTAACAAATCATAAATAAAATTAAAATAATAAAAGTTCTATTTATCATATCAGCGGTTGATTATAGATTGTACGGTCCGTTGATTATGGATTACAAGATGTACTACTATTAGTTATTAAACTGTTATTTTCCATTGCAAAGTTTATTAAAACGGAATCAAGAGATTTTCATTGTCTGTCATAGATAGGTCAAAAGTTGTCACATTAATTGTAAGTGGTATTTCACAAAAGGAAATTTCATCAACTATTCACTAATTTAATTCTATAAAAGTTACATGATGATTTTTCGAAATAAACGGATGATAAATACCTAAATATTAAATATAATATCAGATCTAGAATTATTAAACTATAGTAAATGTATTTAAGATAATAAACATATGCTTTATACATCCACGAAACGATTTTATATTTTACTTTTTCTTTCACACAAGTACAATGAAATAGTTTTTTAAACAATGTCATTGCCTTGGTTAAGTGGATTTTAAATACTTTTTTTGAAACTTATAAAATATTTTAAAAGTTTACATTTAGTTAGTAAATTTCATTCAATTTCATTGGAAACATGTGACTCAAAAAATGTTAGTTTTCTAAACTTATTATATATATTTTTTTCGGCACTCTCCGTTACCTTCTACAACTTTATTTATTCAATATTATTTTTTCTAAATAATCATTTCCGCCTTCCAACGATATATTATACGCATACCATCTGACTATTATTTCTGAAGATTCATTTCGAACTGAATAAGCAGTTTTCTTTTTTTCTCGTTTATTCAATTATCACTTTCTTACAAAAGTTATATTTAGCCATTTTTTATAGTTACTGTCAGTAAGAGAGAGTTATTTTTTAAAATAAGCCAAATTAAACGTACTTTAGAGGAAGACGTATATAAACATAGGGCATTTAAGTCCTGTAAAGTGACATCAATATCAATAAAACCTAGCTGAAATTAAAAACAACTTAATAATACACTAATATACCGAGTTTAATCAAAATCGTTAGCGCCGTTTTCGAGAAATTTCTAAAAATGTGTATTACCGTTAATATAAAGTGGCACTTCCGGATAGCCGATTTTAACGAAAAAGTTTCTGTCATATCGGAACCATATACAAACCTTAAATACACAATTTAAGTTTCGTACGACTTTTCGTTTTTGAGCTAGGCTGTTCACACACACAAAAGTGTAATATGTCTTCTTCTTTATCTTCCTCTTCGTGCCATTACTAGCGTCGAGGAGCCTCAATCCAATGCAGCCATGCCTCTCGGTCCCTACTAAGCCGCCTCATTTCCTGGAGGGTTTTGCCTCTCTTCTCTCCAATCCGCTGCATATACTCCTGATGGGAAATTCTGGGGCGGCCCCTCGGCCTCCTCCCAGTGGGTCGAGCTTCCAGAATCTTCCGTGGATCCCTCTCCTCCTCCATCCGACAAACCACTTCTGTCGGTTTTCCAGTAAAGTCCTTAGCTCCGCCATCTCCAGGTCCTCTCTTATGCGTTCATTTCTGAGGCGGCCACTCTTGGTCTCTCAAGCAGCTCTCCGCAGTAACTTCATCTCGGCTGCTGTCACATGGTTAACCTGCTTGTCCAGCATAATCCAGCTTTCGCTTCCATACGTGAGGGTTGGGAGGTATACCGACTTGTATGTGTGCCTTTTTGTTTCCTTGCCAACTTCCCTGTGCCCTACTATAGTGTTGCTGATAGGGTAATATACCTGATTGGCTTTGGATATCCTATTCGCTACTTCTGGGTCAATCTTCCCCTTGTTGTTGATAATTGTACCCAAATAGGTGAATTCTTGCACAACTTCAAGTACCTGCCCGTTACAGATCAGCTGGACGTCTTCTTGTTCCTCTCTTGATATGACTAGGACTTTGCTTTTGGAGCTATTGATAATCATACCTTTGCAGAGGAGTTCTTCCTGCCATTCTACAAGGGCCTGTTGCAGCTTGTCTTTCGTGTCCGCAATCAGAACGATATCATCGGCATATAGTAGGCTTATATGCCTACTATAATATATGTCCGTAAAAATAAAATAGTGAATACTTAATAGTTGACCGTTGTATTTTAGAGAAAGGAGATGGTCCGGGGTGGCGGTCATAAATAGACTTAAACAGTTGAAAACTATTTTATTTTAAGCCAATGTAACACGTTCATTCCTTAAAACCAACGACCACCTCATTATTACTAAGGCTGATAAGGGAAATTCAACAGTCATTATGGACAAGGCCGAATACTCATACAATGTACAATAACTAATTTCAGACCAATCGACAAAATATGGGGCATTAAGGATTTTACGAAGGATTTTGGATTGGATAAGAGAGGAAATCGATGGCTTAGTGTAGCCCCAAATCTCAACTCCGTAAGTCCAAATAGGTCTTATTATAGTCGTGTATATGAGTCTTTTGTAATTAATTGAAAGTTTAGAGCATTTGTCTAGTAAGTGTTGGAGCAGTCGGAAACGTCGAGCAGTTTCTTGTCGTTTCAGTCTAGTATGAGGATTCCAAGTGAGACGTTTATCCTAGTGGGGTCCTAGGTAGCGGATTTGTTCAACAGGAACAACTGGAATATCATTGAAGGATACTGTAGGGCAAGAAGTTATAGGCTTACGACGAAGGATGAATATAATTTGATGGGATTTATTGGAATTTATTTTTATTCTCCAGTTATGACAACATTCATCAAGGTTTGGGATGCAATTAAAGGCTCATTATTAACAGATAGGATAAAAGTGTCATCTGCATAGGTGGTGACGACCGTGTTGGGATATCAGCTGTATAAATGATAGAACCGAGGTTGCTCCCTTGAGGAACACCAGCAGACTGGAAAAAGAGGGATAAACATGCATTATTATGATTTACTTTGACATATCGATCAGTAAGGTATGAACGGATAATGAGGATATATGTAGGTAGTAGGAATTTACGGAGTTTGTACAGCAGTCCCGGGTACCAGACTATCAAACGCCTGTTCGACGCCGATTCAAAAATCCACATTTATTAATATAAACAAAATTTCAATTTCAATTAAAAATCGATCTTAAACTACTTAAAATTATTTATAAGTAATACAAAATATTTAATTTCCATTTTAATTTATGTGTGATATTATCAGACAATGTTATGAGTAAGCCATTAAAAAATTAATTTAAATAAGCAATTTCAACTCAGCTTAAATCCATTTTTATGCAGAACTTCTCTATAAACAATGTTCTTTTTTAATTTTTGGTTATTGTTTAGTGCATAGCCTTGCCCATTATCATTGAAAATATAAATTTCAAAATTTTAAATGAACGTGCTCTACTTGCTGCCACATATAATTGTCCATGCAAAATTACTGGATAAGGCAATAATACACAAATGTTTCCAAAACTATTACTCTACGATTTGATAATGGTCATAGCAAATGCAGCTATTAATAAGAACGTTGTTCTTTGAAATTCGAATGGAAGTATTGTGTCAGAAAATATTAAATTAATACTTGGAATTAAAATTCTTTTATTTAAAGTAGCTCCCGTTAGTACTTCACTCTCATTCGTTTTCCATTAACTTTATTAAGTTGTCAATGTTGTAAGACCATAAATTGAGCTTGTGCAGTATTTAAGTTTAAGTATTTATGAGGTAACATTCCACTAACATTCAAATAATGGTCCAAATTACTTCATTGAATGTAAAGTTTACTATTTATCAAAAACCAAAATAATCGAAATCGACTTTGCAAAAGAAAAAATGCTAAATGTTTAAAATGATATATCTCTGCAACAAATAGTCCGATTTCAATGATTTCTTTTTTATTTTGTAGAAAATTAAATTAAGGAAGCTTTCAAGTACACATGTATATAAAAAAATGTGTACTTTTTGAGTTATTCGCAAATAAAATACTGAATTCATCATAGAAATGTATGCAGCTTGTTTTCGAGAAAGTATGTTATATACATAAATTAAAAATGATTTAAGGGAAAGACTATAGCCAAGTTCCATTAAAATCGTTGAAACCGTATTGGCGCTACAGTCTAAAGCGAATCACGTTTTTCGGCTGCCATTTCGAAAGGAAAGGCTAAATGATAATGAAACGTATACAAAACACTTCTAAATATTATTGTGATGTGTCAAAATTTAAAAGAAATCGGTGAAGAACTTTCGGAGATTTACTGACATTTAAATTTTTATTTACAAACTATTTTATATTTTTATTTATTGATAACACTAAAGCTTGTCAATAGCTAATAAACCAAAAATGAAGGAAGGAAATCGATTGAATAATAGAAGATTAAAAGGGGCTGAACCGTTTTGTGTTTGTCTATTTATATAATGATAATTATGTAATATTGGAATATGTTTGCATAAAATTTTTACTGTGTACATTATAAAAGACAAGGTTGGGTTTAAATTAAATGTTTTAGGGGGCTTGGAAAAATTACTCTGTGGTCCATGGTTTTAAAACAAAAATAATTGTTGAAAAATAAAATGGCTGGGTTACAAAAAAAAGTAAATTATTTGTTTTTTTACTAATCGATATTAATTGTCACCCAATATTTTGATTTATTATTCTCAATAATCAACCATTGTGATCGACCAAAAAATTCAAAAACTTAACCCCCTCTCAAAATTTGAGGTTTCACGTTTCAGGATGAGTAGAATTCGAAAAACGAATACAAATTTTTTTGTCCGTCCGCCGTCCGCGCATTTTCTCCGAAACTACTGGACCGATTTTTTTCTAATTTAGATATAAAATCAGAGTTCACCCGAGGATGATCCTCCTTCATCGACATTACTATCCGCCTTTTACTTTTAAAATGGCGGCCCAAAAACCTGCGTTGCTATTGATTGTAGCTCCTATACGAATGTACCGATTTCAATGAAACTTAGCTAAAGTCATTTTTTCGACGCCCTTTAAATTTATCTATATAGCATATTTCAACGAAAAGAAGCTGAAAAAAAAGTTAAGACGGATGATAAAATTTAATTCCGAATAACTCAAAAAGTTTACGAAATTTCCTAAAAAAACAAAAAAATATCGTTAAAATCGGACAAATAGGAGCAAAGATATGGTTCCCGTTTTTTAAAATATGTTCTACTCCAAATGTTATATCCTTTGTTTGGTTTTTAAATTTTGAATGTGTTACTTTTATTTATTTTTCTTTGTAACTAGGAAGTTAATGTTACTTTAGATGTATAATTGTTTGGAAATAATAAACCATTGTGAAATAATTTGCAGCGTTTTTTTAAATGATCTGGTTATTTCAAAACTATTATTGGTTTTATAAATCTGGACTTGATAATCTTTACACGTAAACAAATAAGTAATATTACTTAATTACATATCCAGGCACAATTATTCTATTCGTTGATAGTTCAAGTGGCCTACAAAAGTTATCATTTCGTACAACAATAAGGAAGATAACGTGTATCAAGCTTTCATTTGATTACTGACGTTATAAGGTCAACTGAGATTTGTAAAGGGAACAAAAAACCGATGAGCTTATTATTTTATATTATCTTTTTGTTGTATTTACTTTGAAAATCATACGATATTGCAATATATCAAATTTCATTAGAAAAGAGGAGGGGAGGGGACCAGTGGCGGATCCGGGAATTTTCTCAGAGGGGGGGGGAGGGGAGTGCACCTGTATAGTACATAGTATGTACTAGGTGTTTCCCCCACCACTGCCCATCTCCCCCCCACTCCTAGGCTGAGTTTTAACGAAAGTAAACATTTTTTTATTTAATGTAAAATCTGTCTAGTTTACATTGAAGCAACCGTTAATTATTTAAATTAAATAGTTTTTTAGTTATCACTTCCTATTTAACAAAAAACGTGACATATTCAAAAAATCACAAAACTTTAATTTTCTACTTTTTTGCTGAAAATTCAACCATTGTTTTTTTGGAACTTTTTCGTTATTTTTTGACCACCATATTATAGCTAAATAGGATTCGCTAGTGATGGTCACGATAATAATTTTTTTTTAATATTATATTATGAAATTCGTCTATAAGGATGAATTTTTCCTATATTTCTCTTTTCTTTAAATAGGTGTTTTTTGGGAACTTTTTCAACCATCCAAAGAAGAGCGCGCCCCCTGACAGAATTCGCTAGTGCTGGTCACGATATTTTGGGTGATTATTTTCAATAATCAACTATTGCGATCGACCAAAAAATTCAAGAACCTAACCCCCTCTCAAAATTTGAGGTTTCACGTTTCAGAATGAGCAGAATTCGAAAAACGAATAAAAATTTTTTTGTCCATCCGCCGTCCGCGCATTTTCTCCTAAACTACTGGACCGATTTTTTTTCAAATTTGAATATAAAATCAGAGGTCGCCCGAGGATGATCCTCCTTTATCGACATTATTATCCGCCGTTTACTTTCAAAATGGCGGCCGAAAAACCTGAGTTGCTATAGACTGTAGTGCCTAAACGAATGTAGCGATTTTAATGAAACTTCACTAGTCATTTTCCCTACGCCCTTTAAATTTATCTATATAACATACTTCAACGAAAAGAAGCTGGAAAAAAAGTTACGAAGGATGGTAAAATTTAATTCCGAATAGCTCAAAAAGTAAAGTCTTTTTGGGGATGTATGGTTTTTTAAAAGTTTACGAAATTTCCTAAAAAAAAAACAAAAAAAAAACGTTAAAATCGGAGAATTAGAAGCAAAGATATGGTCATCTGTTTTTTGGTTTATTATTTTTTTTATATATGTTCTACTCCAAATGTTATATCCTTTGTTTGGTTTTTAAATTTTGTATGTGTTAGTGAAGTAATGCTATTTTTTATATCATATTACTAATGATTAAAAAAAAAAAGTTTAGTCCAATAATTGGAATCACCTTTTATTTATTTTTCTTTGTAACTAGAAGGTAATGTTACTTTAGATGTATAGTTGTTTGGAAATAATAAACCATTGTGGAATAATTTGTAGCGTTTTTTATTTACATTACATTAGGAAATTCGTATATGTGGATGAATTTTCCCTCAATTGCTCTTTTCTATTTTTGGAACTTTTTTTCCAGCTTCTAGGGAGGTGAGGGGCGGCCCTCCCGGCTACATCCGCTAATGGAGGGGACTCCTTGCATCCGTTGTAAAACACAAGAACCAGTGTTGCCAATTGTCATCGACAAATCTTACGTCTTCGTAGCCACACTCTTTTAAAAGTCGTGCAACTATTGTATGCTCAATCATGTTAATTTAAACAAAATTATATCAGAGCTTTTATTTCTAGCAGGGCAGTGGAGAAAAACCAAGGGCACAAGGGTTAATTTTCCCGACCCTTCTCCCCTCCCCCGAATATTAAAATTAACACTAAAATTCAACCAAAGTCTTTTATAAAGACTGCGAAACAAATATATTATAAAAAGATATTACATAATTTTTACTTTCCTACCTATACTAGGTAAGGAAAGTATTGCAATCGGGTCAAATTTCAGACATGCGGTTTTCGACAGATCTATACGTTTCACAGCCTCCTGAGTCCGAAAAACACATTTTTAGCCATTGGTCTGTCTGTGCCAAGATTTTCTAGGGAACTACTGAACCGTTCCGTTATCAGGTTGGAGGGCAACACGCATTGGTGTGCACACGCGTTAGCCCGTTCGGCTACTCCGTCCACTTTTTTTCTCCCCTTCCTCGCCTTTTTAGGAGACTATACGGGAGTTTTCTCGGACCAGGGAGTAAATGCCGGAGTTAAAAGACCCACCCTCCGATACGGAGAAGTGAAAGCATAATATTATTTTAATCAAATTATCTCACATATCAGGTTGTGGGGTAACAACGGTGCTGTACACCTGCATTCGCCAGCTCGGCCACCCCACCCCTTGCAATCTCGGCTTATCTCCTCTTATCAAACCTGCTTATTAGCTCATGTCCAGTGCCAATGTTAGACATCTCTTTCCATAAAAATTTATTTCTGTTTTTTTTATAATTTGTAATATTTTAATTTTACTTCATTCAATACTTCACGGATAAATAAATAATAATAAAGGCTTGGCGAAACCGAAGGTTCGATGCCGACACTACCAACAGCTTATGACACACCCCCCTCCACCGTTCGCCGTCCATACCGTCTCTTGAGATCGGCTTTAACGCAATATACTCCTTGGACGTTTACCATTCAGTACAGCAAATATTAACCGTTTAGCAGTTCTTTCGTTATCTAGTTCATTCTATCCGATGCCATGTAATCACTTCAATTACATTAACCGGATACAGTTCACGCAGTTTGGCGTTGTGTAACCGTCTGAATTCTCGAGTTAACTCATCCTTTTGCGGTCTGAATATTCTACGCAATAGTTTATTTTCAAAAACCTTAAGACGTTGCTCATCCTTTAATGTAAGTGGCCACGTTTCGCATCCATAAAGGACTGTAGGTAAGATGATAGTTTTATAGATACCAGTCTTTAAATTCAGGGAAAACAAGCCCGAGCTAAGTAGTTTTGTCACAGAAAAAGAACAAGCATTTCCCGCCTTCAGTCTAACCTTAATATCCTCTCCAATTTCGTTTTTTCTAGTTATCATAGACACTGGATACCTGAACTTCTCAACCTATTCAAACAAATTACCTTCTACATCGTTATCACCAGCAAAATCGCCATTTTTGCAGCTAACCATATATTTTGTCTTATCCCTGTTTATTTTGAGCCATAGTTCTTTACCAGCTTTCACTAACATTTTCGTATTTAGTTTTACAGTTTCCGTGTCTTCGCTTAACAGGACCAGATCATCCGCATAGCCAAGCATGGGTGGTTTCCCACCCAGATCCAACCCTTTTTCGGTATGCATTACCTCCCTAATGGCATGTTCTAATGCCAAACTAAACAGGACAGGCGAAGGGAATTACCATATTTTAAGCCCGGAACGAAACACAAACTTTTGGGATAAATTATTACGGATTCTTACTTTATTGAGTGTTTCCGTCAAGGACATCCTGACAGTCAGGGAATCTCCTGCTCGATTAGAATGTTATACAGTTTCTGGTGGTCTGGTTCATAGAATACAGTTTCCATAACATTTCTCTGATAAAAATGTTTAATCGATAGGCTAAAATAAATTATTTTAATACATTTTGTATTTTTTTCATTTCTAACAAGAGGAAAGAATACATTAAAAAACCTTTTTATTATTATTTATTTTTAATAATTCAAGAAGTAAAATGAATTTTTACTTATTTCTAATAGCGGTTTTACAAAATAACTAATTATCGATTCTATTCAATTTCTTACTAAATATTAATTTGTAAACGTCAAAATAAAATATTTTGCATAATTCAAAATAAAAAACATGAGCAGTTTAATTGATTTTAAAATTATATTTTATTTCCTCAGTTATGTCCCATTGAAACAAATTTTCATGTTTTCCAAACAAAATTAAGAGAAATTACTATCTTAGTAGCAGAGCTGAGCTACTCATAATTTTTATTTTCATCTACCTATAGGTGAAGGAATAAAGAATTTTAATCAAAGTTCTCAACTTTATGTACATTGTTGTCTTTAATTATGATACTCATTCTTAAAATTACTATACAAGGTCATCAAGATTCAAAATAATAAGAAAAGAAAAAACTAGACCATTTTATATTTAATTTGTATAAAATTCTTATACTAGAGAAGTGATTTGGTTTATATTGTTAAATAGTATATACAGAGTGATAATTATATACATTGTTGGAGGTGGAAACAGTTATCCAGAGCATCCTCGACAGCCACAGTGGATGCATTCCACAATCTTACCCTGAAAAAAAAAAAAAAATTAATACATCAAAGCAATTTGAATTCTAAACAATTAACTCTCTACTCATTTGTGGCTACAAAATACTTCAAAATATTTTGTTCTAACACCTGCCATATGCCGAACAGGAACTTGGGTCCTACCAATGTGGTTTCAGGAAGTGTAAGTTTACGACTGATCAAATACTCAGCCAACGGACAATCCTTGAAATGGGCCCTGAATACAATATGAAAACCCACCACCCCTTCATCACTTTTAAGACGTCCTACAAAAGTGTTAATCATAAAGAGCTTTATAAAGCAATTGAAATCCCTAATAAGTTCACACGCATGATTGAATTAACTATTAGAGATAGGAGATGAATGATTCTGACAAAGGGAGACTATTCTGAAGAATTTGCTGCAGAAAAAGGGTTCCGCAAGAGTGACGCAATGGCCTGTATTTTGTTTAACTTAGACCTGGAACATGTAGTTAGATAAGCAAAATTATAGATTGTTGTAATCATATTTAATAAACATACTTAGCTTCTAGATTGAACGGACCAGCGAATAGACTTTGCCTAGAAGTCAACAAAGGGAAGATATATCAAATATCTAGAGAGAGAGAGGACATCGCGAAATCAGTTCAAAAATGTTGAGAAAGTGAAGATTGAAGTAAAAAGAGTTTACCTATATAGGGTCATTAGTGACAATCAATAATAATAGGGTAGCTGAAATTAAAAAGAGAATTGTAAATGCCAACCACAGCTAATCTAGCTTATGTAAGGAGTTTTGTTATCGTCTCTTATCTAAACAAATCATGATCCAGCTCTACGAAACTTTGACATAGCCAGTTCTCTTAATTGATTGTGAGACATGGTCGCTCACTCAAAACGATGAGTGCCATCTCCTGGTATATGAAAGGATGATCCTTCAAACAATATACGGAGGAGTATAAGTTGCTGGGAAATGAAAAAGACCTCCAACAGGGAATTATATACCATGTTCCCAAAACCCAACATCATATAAACCATCAAATTGAGCAAGCTAAGATGGGAAGAAGATTTGTCAATGATGGAATAGAAGGAAATACCAAAAAAGCTTCATGGCACAAAAAGGAGAAGTTCAAGATTACAATGGTGTGACTGAAGATACTGGAGGAAGCCAGGACTCAAGACTGGATTGTAGAGGAAAAAATTATGATATTAAAAAAAATCAACAGGTCTAGAATCCTTAAAGATAAGCATTCTTCAAAGAATGGACCACTGGTACCAAAAAATAAAGCTAATGGTAAATACCGTGTTTATTTCACTATTTACATTTAATTATTTTTATTCATTATGTGAATTGTGAAATATTTAATTTTTAAAACAAACAAAATTGAAGGTACTTTAGAGGATAACATTTTTGAAAAATCGACATTTATGCTCTGTTAGAGAACATCAATGAAGATGAAATGTACCTTATTTTAGAAAACATTTAATTGTACATTAGCATAATGATTTTAATCAAAATCGTTAGTCTTTTTGAGAAAATTGTATTTAATCGATGATATAAAGTACCACCTCCGGTTTGTCAATTTTGGCGAAAAGATTGCTGTAACATTCCATGCATATAAAAACTTTAAATATGAAATTTCAGATTAAACAGATGCACACATAGGAGTGCCCATCCCCCCGAGGTCGATTGCTCATGAACTTCCCCCTTCCCTCCTCAAGATATAGTATTGCTTTCCTCTTTTTAAAACCATTAGAGCTTAAAGTACTGTAAATCATATATAATTACACTTGCTAAGGTTTGTTCCGTATATTCCCTTTGTCTCCTTGTTTGAAACTTTTCAATCTGTAAATTCATAATTTCGTCGAAATGTGGCCCCCTAAAAAAATTCAAAATCTCGTCAAAATGTGCCCCCTCAAAAATTGTGATGGCGCAACTTGCGCCATGAAACCCCCTTGTGGGCACCCCTGATGATCACTAATGGATCCAGGATATAATTTTTTCGGGAGGAGGGGGAGGGCTACAGCCCGAAAGATTTTTTTTTGGAGGTATATATTACGATAATTACTTCGGAAGCAAAGAAAGAAACTAAGTATCTATATGCAATGGTGTTTAAGTAACTCTTGAAGTTCTATTAAATGTAATTAGACTAACAATAATAATTATAGAGGTAATTTTTTTCATAAGCATGGTTATATTTTACCATATTAGGGGGAGGAGGAGGGAGAAGCTTCAGCCTGAAAGCTCCTTTTATTTATTTATGACCACACAGACATGCATTCTGTACTTATAATATGTTCTAACGGGACAACAGTCTCAGAATAATAAAATATATTTTCACTCCATTTCATTTCTAATATACGTGATCCTGAAGGCTTATATAATATTCTGTTGCATTGTTCTGAATTTATAGCTTTTAGAAATAAATATTTAAGTAAATATACTGGCAATAAATCTAACATTAAGTCAAAATAGTTCAATTATTTCATATAAAAAACAAATAAAATATTAATGATTTGCACTGCTATGTAGAAGGCTGTTTAAAATTAAGGATTTTTTTTTTTTGTTTATCTGCAAATAAATTATTTTATCATTAAGTTTATGGTTAAGGTTATATGCAAATAATAATGTTTGAACTTAGTATTTTATTTTGTTTAAGAACGTTTGTTTTGTTTATTATTGAATCAAACCAAACTGTTTTTTAAATTTACACATTAAATAAGTTATAACTGATACTATTTCTGTTGTTAATGTTTTAATTTTTATTAAGATAAAATACATAAATCTTTATATTTTACTTTGTTATGTATTTTTACTTGGTGCTCATCTATTAGAGGAATTTATTTAATATTTACTGATTTTTTCCTATGTTAGTTTTCTCTTTTTATTATTATTTTTCTTGGCTAAGCAGTAATTATTTTGTTTCATTCTTATTTCTTGTTTATAGTCTTATTTCTTGTTATATAGTTTATATATTTTGTATATAGTTCCATTAGTTTGTTTTAGTATATTTTGTTAATTTACATAAGGTTTTCTATTTATTTAATGTAACTTTTCTATTAATTTAATTTCTTATTTAGATACTTCTGGCCAGATGTATTTCTTTTGTTCTGTAACTTTCTGTTATTCATAAGGGACTCCGTTCCGAAATAACGTTAATTTTATATTTCTATTTCTATAATATTCATTTACCGCTATGTGGGTATTTGTATACATTTACAATCAACTCCATTTGAAAGGGCTCACCCGAAAACAAATAAAATTTATTTTATTCTACAAACTCACCTCTTCGAGCTTGGCCTTTGGGACCCGGCATATGCAACTTGTTCCAAAATTTGTGTCTCTGGTTTGAATGCACCTTAAACAGCAAAGACTTTCGTAGCCTTGTTTTTTCCATTTGGCTATCAAATTTTTATCAGCAATATTTTCATTGAGACAATGCTCATACAATTCTGAAAAAAAATTATAGAAAACAATTTCAATTTATATTTATAACATTTTTGCTGGTAATATAAAAGCAATAACATGTTCAGTTGAAAGGAATACCAAGATACATGGTTCACAGTACATGAAATGCCTAAGTTATCTGCATGCTTCTGTTTTCGGCTAGGTTAATTTATGCTAGATTTCCAATAATTAAAACTAAAGAAATAGACTTGGATATGCAAATATAATTTAATACAATTGACAAACTCCATAAACTACTAACCGGCACTTATCAGCTAAAATTAGGGCCTTAATTACACTACTGCTATTAACTTCCTCTCGCTATGCTTGTTCAAAAGAGATAAACAAACCTCTAATCTAACATTTGGTCACTTCCAACATCTACTTTCCTCCATTTACGGAATTCCATTTATAGCACGATAATAAGATCTTGTATGACCCATAAAAATGGCACAACATTGGTACCATTGTTTTTGATGAAGTATTAAAGAAACTTAGACGTAAAAAAAATTCAGAAACAATATATAAAAATACATATTACATCACTGGTCTGGTTTTTCGTGGAGTACAACCAAACCAACTCTAACCAGAGTGGGACAGTCAAGATTTATTCTGTAGGACCACCAAAAAAAAAAATAATTTTAATCCACCCAGGTCAGATTCCAGATATGAACCGGCATTGCTAGGCACAAGAACGTTAAAGATTACACTTTAACATACTTGGCCATCATGACCTCCTCGATAAACCAACTTAACCACTAGCCTCGTAAAATGTTTATATCAATGTTATTTATTTTCTAAAGGAAAACAAAAACGGACTCCATGATTCCCTAACCTCCCCTTCCACCTCATGAAATTCTGAATTCAATGGTATCCTGCTCATGGTATTTAAACACGACAAAAGCTTAAATTTGGTGTAATACAGATTTCGACCATTAGAGAAATAAGATGTGTGGGGAGGAGATACATATCTAAAAATTAATCAAGTAATGCAATGGACAAGAAGACTTTAGTCACTATCAAAGGATCAGTAATTATCACTCATAAAATGGTGTCACTGAAGCAGTGACACATTTTCATACCCCTAATTCCTTTCATAGAATTAGTACTGAGTTGAGGAACTTGCCCTAACTATATTGTCTAAGATTATGAGTCAGTAATAGGAAAATATGGTTGTAAGTGAAGTTGAAATTAAAATATATAAGATAGAAAATCATAACTTACCTTTACTTATGGCTTTCCTCCGATAATATAAATCATATATATATCGCGATTTCTGGTGATGAATTTTAAAAATTGGCCACAAAGATTCAACTTTTCTTTTACCCTCGTGGGGTTCGGTTTCGGCTATAATAAACAAAATATTTTACATTATAATATGCAATCAATAGAAAATAAAGTAACATTATAAGAAACAATATATGTTTTACCTTCTCTCATCTTCTGCTCTAATTCTTCTAGAGTAGGTTCTATAAGTTCCCAACCATCTGGTGGAGGCTTCTTGCTTCTTCGTACTTTAGGCATTTTTAAAATTTAATAATTATAAACAATAACTAAACGTTGAACAGTGAGATGTTTCTACAGTGAACAGTACGAAAGGTAACAAACAAATCATACTTGCTACCTTATAACAGTGCTGCCTTAATAGTTGGCAATACAATTTTATTTTCGTCAAGATTTATTCAACCTGAATGAATGATTCCTTTCAAATAATATTTAATTAATTAAATAATCGTTAAAACTTTTGAAAAAGTCTAATTGGATTGACTAAAACTCAAAAAATTCAGATAAACTATAATAACCTGGGACAAGTAGTACAGGTTATCTATTCTAGGAACTACATACAAGACGTATTTGGCCTTTGGCGAGAACGTTTATTAAATTCCAGTTTAATCTGCACGTACATAATCATGCCACGAGGTGAGTTTACTTTCGCCCTGAAGGCCTGATTAAGTTTAATTCTTAAAGAGATTAATTCTACAATATATATAATAATTTTATTGACTGTACCACGTTTGGACCTAAACCAGATTTATTTTGAATTTTATCTAGGAAAGTACACTAATCATAAAGGAAGGAGTAGAAAATTTACAAGTGCTGAAGAACTCGAAGAACAAAGAAGGCAAGATGAGAGGATCAGGCAAAGGAGGGTATGAATTATAAATATTATGTTACTAAGGTGTGGTTGATTAGTTACCTTGTATTATTTATTGTAATTGATTCATGATTTTGTGATTGTAATAAGCAAGGTTTTAAGTTTATTTTATACATTTTATAAGTAAAAGGGATATGATCAATTTGTTATTGATCCTGCCTCTTACCTTCAAGCTCTCCTTGACTAAACAAAACATTATAGTTACCTTTATTAATATGTCTGAGTCAGATATTTAAATTTTTTTTATATTACGTATATTTACCAACAAATTGGAGAAGGGTACCTACACTGTTAGTTATGCGTAAATATAAGTTTTTATTTTACTTGTCACCTTTTGATTTTAAACTTGTTTCTAGGATGTGATCGACAATTGCCATTTATTTAGCAGGTTCAATAATAAGCAAAATGATTTATCACAAATGTGAAATATGGTACTAATAGTTAGTTAGTAAATCATTGAAGTTGCTAGTTTTGACTTAAGTGTTGTCATTTCTGTATCATTTCTTATGATGAGCACTTTGATGAAGTTCCTGATCTTATAGGTCAAGTAGCGATTGGAGATTTATTTGTCAATTAGTCTAGTGGAAATCAACAGCTGTAAGTTTTATATAGCTATAATCAATGTAAATAAGCTGGTTGATTCTAATATAATTTTTAGTTAGGACTAAGGGTACTAGTTCACAAGAGTTCCTCACGGATTACGCGTGGTTCACAATCACTTTGATTACTTGTTTATGGAATCCCGAAAATAGCCGAATGTTGTCTTTTATGATGTCAGCTATTGCCCCATTCCATCACACAATCCCTTTTCATGCAGTTTTGATAAAAAGAAAACGTATTCCCTTCATGAAACTTCCTTATTAACAATTTATTAATGGATTGTATATTTACTAATTTCTTAATTATTAATTTTTATTATAATGGTTATTACTGTGAAAGAAAAGTAAAAAAATATATGAAATAATGTTTGAGTCGTTTCTTCAAGGCCTGTTAAAAAAAATGCTTTTAGAAATAACATTTTTATTGACACATGCTTACATGCAGTGGCTGTAAATATGAATATACTGTTTTATATTATCTTTTATAACTGTGTATAAAAGATTTTTTTATCATTTGGGTAATAAATAATCTGAAGTTATCAATTATCTTTTTATTTGTTATTCGAGTTTTTCAATAGAAGTTGGAATAATGGAATTTATTATTTACTGTTGACATTCGTAAAAAAAAAAAAAAAAAGAATCGTGTTTATTTTCGAGAAAGGAATTAACGTATTGGGGAAACAACTGACGAAGAAGATCTGATAATTCCGAGATAATGAATAATGGAAATCATCAATAAGAAAAATAATATCGTGAAATAGCATTCAGAGATGTAATAATTAAAGGTTTTTATCCATTACTATTACTGAACTTGGTTAAGGTTGTAGAAGTACTTAAATGGCGGGAAAGTTAATAGTAACTGATTCAAGAGATCGGTGGCCTTCGTTCTCTTTCGGATAAACCCGAACGCATTCGGCTGTTTTCGGGATTCCATGAACAAGTGTGATCGAAGTGATTGTGAACCATGCGTAATCCGTCCGGAACTCTTGTGAACTAGTACCAATATGGCTATGTATAGTTCACAACTGTTAACTTCTGTTTGCTCTTAAGAAGACCTGAATTCATAGTATATATCTGATCTTAAATATCTGTGCTTTGTGATCGGTAGCTTACTGATTATGAGTACTTGTTGCAAAATATTAAGCAGATAACATGTTTGTTATTGCAGTGTGAATTGATAAGATAACTAGATCACTTACTTTGGTGATTGTTAACCATATGTGGTAAACTATCACAGCTTAACTAATATCTATATTTTTTATAATCACTTGAAATATAAGTGTCCTTATTTTCTCCTCTAAAACAATACAATTATATTATTGGTACTAGTTTGCAAATGTCTGGATGTTGGACCAATGTTACATCGATCTCATTGTACGTGAATTGACGAAAACAGCTGAGTGTGTCCGATGATGCCCATGTTTACATTATGTCAGATTATTTTAAATTAGTGAATGGCCACTTTAATTGAATTCCTAGTTTTTTTATTATTGTTCTTTACAAATAGCTTTCTTAAAATTCCCTAGAGATAAGGAAGGAGAGAGGACATTATAATCATTATTGTTGTTTAGAAATATGTAATTATATTTATTTTGATATTTGGTAATTGACGTCCTATATTACTTAAATGTTAAAGGTAGATGGAGGCTGAGCGGGCTAACACATTTTGCAAAACACTCGTCCCAGCAACTTGATAAAATAAGTATGAGTTCGTGTCCTAGTGCCAGGAAGGCTTTTAACCCTGACATTAATACCTCACACTCTTTCCTGGCTCAGGAAAAACTGCATAGACTAAAAGGCGTGGAATAGGTGGACAAAAAAAAAATTAGATATTATACTTAAGTCAATTCACACTATTGTTTATATTTAATTTAATAGAATGAAGCAAAGGTGACATAATTTGTGCCTACTTAATAAACAGTGTGGTTGCCCTTATTCCACATAGTATGGTTGTTATGACATATGTAAACTGTTAACAAATTTAAGTTCAGAACTTCTTATTTTATTTAGATAATAACAGGTATTTTTTTGATACTGATAACAAATTCATTTACTTCATTAGTATTTTATTAATTCAGAAATTGAATCCTTCATATTACGATCTTATTTAATAATTTATCTGATTGGTTTTTCAAACCCACTCACTCATCCTCAGGTTCTTTTTACAATATATATTATTTTTATAATATTATATTATTGGGTTATGCCTATATCTTTAATTTCAAGTTATAAGCTATGAAAGTTGAAATGTAATAAATCCACAAATTTATTACATTATGGATTAAGGATGATAAACGATTACCAAATTAGTTACAATATTAATTTATTACTGGCATTTATCCCATTCCTATAAATCTTTAATAACGTTATTTATCTGTTCATTAATTACATTTTATTGTAAATATATACAATGATACATCATTGTCATCCACATGATCTTGCATCCACATTATAAAGAAGACATAACTAAATAAAGGTAGTTTCATATGCAACGTAATATGAAAAACATGAAGGAGTATTTGTTGAACTGTCATGAATTGATTTTTAAGGAATTTGAGGCTTTGTTAAGTTGCGTTAAAAAAGGATAACATGAATTCAAAATCAAATCAATAACACTTTAGGTGGAAACCTGAACTTAGCCGAATGCTACTACAATGTATATTTATTTCCATTTATTTCTGAGAAATTTATATTAATTATTTTGTATTAATATTTATATTAATAAACAAGCTGATATGAAATTTTAATTTGTATGTCATGACCGAAACTAATACAAAATATGGTACTATTGTACAAATGTCACTCTACTTTCATGGGAGCCAGGGTGGCACAAGATCTTATGATCACACCATCAATGAACTTGAGTGTGTCTGGAAATAGACAGTCGTAAACCAAAACATCTGCTAAGACATCAACCTCAATTGAAAAGGTTCATTAGGGGTTCATTTATTCTTTTTGAAAGAGCAGAAGACGAAAGCAGTGATGTAATTGAAGCTTATTAATGCCCCAATATTAACTGGAAATGACTAGTAAAAAATTTAGGAAGTCGGACATTCGATCTTTTTTTTTTTGTTCTCGACTTTTAGCCTATACGGGAGTTTTTCCCAAACAGGAGGAGAGGACGGGAAATTAATGCCAAGTTAAAAGAAGACTCCTTTATCATTGGGATGTGAATTCGCAATTATTTTATTTATAACTTTGGTTATCAGGTTGTCGGGCAACGCGTCTGCTGTGCACACACACGTTAGCCCACTTGGCCATCGAATTTCTATATATAGAGAGATTATACTGTGAACAAATCGTTCCTTGGTTGATAGATCATCATGATCCTGATCATGAGATCTTGTGCCACCCATGGAAGTAGAGTGACATTTGTAAAGTGATACCTAAAATATGATGACATCTTTCTCTTTATTACATGGATTAGTTAGGATTATTAGAGGTTCTTGTAATCAATACTGCTATGATTAAACCATAAACTGTCAGACTTCCAGGGGTTTTAAGTTGAATTTAGGGTCCTTTTAAAAGAAGATAAATGGATGGCCCCTGACTCAACTAAAGAAAAGGACCATTTTTTTTCTTTATCTGATCTTACAAAAGTCCTGATAACCATGATTTAATTAAAGCAGAAATGATTTTTATAAATTATGTTAATCCTAGAAATATTAGTTCAGTACTTCGGTTTTCAAACACTATGAGAGATTATCGCAAACTTTATAGACCCTTTTGCAAGGTCAAGTTTCTCAAATAAAGTCAGATTTGTAGTTAAGACATTTCCCCTCTAGATGTCAGAAGGAAAGTAACCTTTCCTTATGACCTTACTCGAACTGTTATGTTCAATGTTGTTTATAATCCATGCTTAAAAATTGAAAATGAATTATGACCTATGTTAATTCCATAGGGTGTCCGGTCAATAATAAGAAATATTTAAAAAAGTAGTAAACTCCAAGAACTACAAAAAAAAATTTATGTAACCTATGTAATGTACAGACAGTCTGTCCTTTATCACTTCAATAAATTTTAAAACTTGATTTTGAGGCCACCCTTTCATTTTTATTATAAAAAGAATACAACTAAATGCTGATTATACACGGCATGTTTTGAAGAGTAGTTTGTTTCCTGAACAAAAGGAGAGCTGCCATAGTTTGGTCGACAAGTTCTAACATATCAAAGCGATCTAATGAAACCTTTTACATGATTTAGTTTCTCGACCAAAGTGAGTTCATCCAAGAAACTGGTTGAGAAATTTAACTGTGTAAAAGAGCCTTAACAACTAATCTGTTGTGCTTATTAGGTAAAAGGTAGTCAATATTTCCAAATTGGTGATTTACAAGTTCGACAAAAAAAAATCCAAAGTTTATCTGCTCTATCATATATCCTGGTTAAATTATTGGGTTACAGATTACTGATCGGTTAAAGGAGTGTATTAATTTAAAATAAACTAATTTCTCTCTCTCTCTCTCTCTCTCTCTCTCTCACACACACAGATTTGTTGATTTTGAGACTATAATAGAGTTTATAAACTTTAGATATTTTTAGTTGTTCCACTTATCATCTCTAACTACCTTAGTAAAGCTAGAAATAGTAGTCTCCTATTATCTTTCTATCAGTTTTTCCTCTTTCAAACTCTTAGTCATCTCACCTTATAATGTTTCTTTCTTCCTGTTACTAACAAACTAGATGTGCTATGGAATGGTTAATTAACTTAGCTTCAAGTGTTCTAGCTATGGAATGGTTAATTATCTTAGCTTCAACTGTTCTAACTATGCTCTGTCATGTTCGGTTTCCTTAAGTGTTCTAGCTCTAAAAAAATAAAAATAAAACCCTTAAAAACTCATATATTTATTATTTCTGTTTTTACATTCATTTACCAAATTATTTCAGAGTATAATGATAATAATAATATTCTTTATTTATATCAGTACAAGTCCTTTTAGAATAAAATATAATAATACACTGTGGGCTTTTAGAGCCTCAGAACTAAATAAAAAGGAATAGCTATAAATAAAGGAATAAATATAATAAATTATAAGCTAACTTCTAAAATTAATCAATTTATTAAAAAGAACGTGAGAGGATAATTGAAAAAGAACTAATAATCTATATAAATATTTAAAGGAACCACTTGTTCAATTGTTTTTGGAATTGGCGGATATGAAGTGATTAAATATGCAGGATTTAAAGGTGGGTTATTGTGTATATAAATTGGTTGTTAGGAGAGAGAACAGAGGATTTAAATTGAAGGAGCTTGTAGATGTATAGAGAGATGGCAGTATTGGATGACTTAGAAGAAGAAGCATGCTAGAAAATACTTATGACAGTATAAAGCCACTTCAGCTCTTCATATAAATGGGAGACAGAGGTGTCCCGTAGGATGCTGAAGATAAAAGTTTATAAAAAGCAATTTATCAAATGGTATTATTTTGTCTCGAGATTCCTCGAGACACCCGCATATATCATGTAACAGTTATGAAAGTGGATAATTTCTAATAAAAATGGGTGATGTTAGTTAATTTAGTCATTTTAATGGGGAAAAGACACGGCAGAAGATATTGGATAAATGTTTTTTCGAAGAAAGAGTTTGTTATAAGATTATTCCAGTTTTTTAATGGTGGGATATAATTTGGTGGCATTATCTTTAGGTACGAAAATAGCGACGTCGGTGCTATAGATATTGTAGGAAATATGTTTGAAGATATAGAGAATTTTAGCTATTTAGGGTCTACGATAACAATAAAAATGAAATTGAAGAAGTTAAGGCTAGGTTTAAGATGGGAAATACCTGCTATTTTTCAGATACAAAACTACTTAACTCACAGCTGTTATCCAGAAACTTAAAAATAAGAATTTATAAAACTGTTATTCTTCATACAATTTTTTTATGGACGCGAAATGTGGTGGATGAGCTTACATTAAGGGATGAACATTGTCTTAAGGTTTTTGAAAATAAAGTATCCTGAAAAAGGATGTCTCAACAGGAGAATTTAGGCGGTTACAGAACACTGAATTGTGGGAATTTTACCCAGTTATTATAATTAAAATGATTAAGTTGACGTGAATAAAATGGGCATGTAAAATCGCTGGGTTTAGTAACAAAAGAATTCCTAAAAAGTTAATACGTGATGTGCCAACTGGAAATCGTCTGAGGGATAGACAGAAGCAAAGGTGGGAAGATTGCATTAAGGCTGATCTGCCAGGGTTGGGTTTAGACTGCTCTTGGTGGATGGAAGAATGTAGACATTAATTGATGGTATCAGCAAGAACCTTCGGGTTCGCTAAGCCTTATTATTATTTTATTATTATTATTATTTAGTTATAGGGTAGGAATGTTAGGAATAGTTTTAAGGTGCTTGAAGCATGTAAAGAATGATTTTATTCTTATTATTATAGTTATTTTGTTAAATTCTAGTTATTTAACCTTTCCATGTGGTATATGATTGTATTTAATCATATACAATAAATTATAATAGAGTAAAATTTATATTTGTTTCATTTTATTAGCATTCATTATAAAATTATAGTGAATATGCTAATGTATTGAGCCATCAGTTTAAGAATTTAAGTTTCAATTTTTTTTTTTTTATGATCAAACAAGGATAAAACCTTTATAATTATTTAAATCCTGAAATCGGAATTTTCATTTTACTGGCCTAATATAACATTTTATAGTTACTATTTTGTTTTAAATTTAATCCAATAAATTGATGAAAAGCACATTGAACTTAACAATTCAACAGCCTTGAGGTCTTCAATTCACATTATACAATGACAATAGTTTTACATTAATTTTATTGTTAAATTATTTTGCATGATGATTGTATATAACTGATTGAGTTTTTGTATTACTGTTTGTTTTGTCATTTTACAGCTTGAAAGAGGTGACATATCCAGCGAATCAGAACCAGAAGAAAAAAATGAAGGCAGTGGTTCCGATTCTGAAGAAAGTGATAGTGATGATGGAGTAAGTCTGAAAAATTAACATTCAAATTAGCAAAAATATTATTTATGAAATGTTAAGCTTATGTGTGTATTATATATATTTTAAATCATGGACTGTTGTGTCTTATTTGATATTTTGTTTTCAACAGCCACATAAGGTAAAAGGAGTAGAAAATCTTATTGAGGTTGAGAACCCGAATAGGATTCAGAAGAAAACTAAGAAAGCTCCGACCGCTGCTGTTAATCCTGAGGCGCCAGCAAAGCCCGAATTATCTCGTAGGGAGAGGTATGTCTTAATACAAATTTATTTTTAATTTTTCATTCAAATATGTTATGCACCAACAATTTAGTCTATTTTGTAATAAAGATAGACCCAATATTATAAGAATAAATCCAATATTTTGGTAATAAAGTTAAAGCCCATCGATAAAGCCATAAGGTCATCGAAACTCAGCTTTATTTTATAATTTGAATATGTTTGCTACATTATTATACATCGCTTATTTGAATACATGGAGCCATTTTAAGTCTATAAAAAGTTAATGTTTGGTTAATTTAGTTTAATAAAAACAATGATTATCTATCAATCAACTATCAACATCCACTGCTTATATATTAAATATTTAGTCAGTAATTTTTTTTTAAAGAATTTATTTTACTATCATGCACATTTTTTTTTTACTTTTATTTGTGAAAAGTAGAGGGTGAATAATCAACATCCTTTGTCATTAATCTTTTTCATTTGTTTTAACAAAACAAAAATACCACTTTTTTCGTAAACAAGATCATGAGTCCACCATCTCCTATATTTGGTTAACAAGGGATGGCAGGTGGAGAGGGAGCTTATACGGGATAGGTTCAAATTTCTAACAGGAGATAAAACATTTATTAATTTATTTATTTTAAATTGTATTACACATTGTTTTATCTTATCTGGGCCGGGGGATGAGGGCGGGGAATTTAAAATCCCCTCTGGCACCAGGACGCGAACCTCATACTTTTTTAATCTTCTCAAATCTGTTTATCCAGTTGCCTGGCAACTCGCGGTGCTGTGCACACGCTTTAGCCCATTCGGCCACCCTGCCCCTACACATTGTTTTATCTTAATGTTTTATAATCCTGGTCTCAGGATTCTGCAAACAATAATGTAATAATTAAAAAGAACGTATTTAAGTAAATCTCTTACCCTCTTCCATCTTCTGAGTATGTGAGGCCAGTCAGACTACTTAAACCAACTTGGCGTAAGAGTGATGACCCTACCCTGTGCACTTTTTTTGGAAATAGTGGTGTGGTTCTCCAGAATGTCAGTAGCCTAAATGAGTTTGTAGGAAGAAGGGTGGCACACCTAGCAATGTGAGGTTGGTTGAGCCCCTTCAGGCTATCTGTGATGATGAAAATAAAATACATCTTACAAGGTGTAAGATGACCCCTGAACGTGACCTAAGATCTACACGATCTATCGTGTCAGAAAAAAAAAACATTAATATTATTTTTTTTATTAAAATATGGTAAAATTTTTTTTAAACATTATTTTTCTCAAGAAATGAAAAAGAATGGCACTAATTCACTCTTTTTTAAAATATAGTAAAATATTAGTAAAATGAAATTTTTTATTAAAAAAAAAAAAATCATTACTAAAAATTTAAAGAATAAGGAGATAAGCAGCGGATGTTGATTATGTTTGTATATGATATTTTTTTAAAATTTGAATTCCGCTTATTGATGTAAAATTTTGTCCCTAAGGGGACCGTGGCTTTCATATGAAAGTACTTGAAGTTCATTAATTTTTGTCTTTAGAATCTTAAATTTGAATTAAAATTGTTTAAATCTTAATTCTCTCGCGTTTCTCATAACACAAGTTGGCAACATCGATGGCGAATAAGTTTTCTAATTCCACTACCATTCAGTTACTTTTTATTACAGTAGAATAATGGTTCTGGTAATATGAGCTATTTAGTTTTATGAGAAATAATGGGATCATTTGTCAATACAAAAAAAAATCCTATGGGATTCTCATCTATCCAAATAAAGAACTTGCCTTTAATTAACGATGGAAGTATGAAGTAATACTCTTAACTTTTAAATCACTACCATTGTAGTCGTAATTAAAGGATATATGGTTATATATATGGTTTACTGGAAAAACTACCCAAGCATAAAATTCTTAAAAGTATTGTGGCTTAAAAAACATTTATCAATACAAATGTGTGAATTTGTCATGCCTGAAATTAGCTATCTGCAAAGTATTTTTTTTTTTTTTTTTTTTAGCAATAAGCATAACTTTTTAACTGCAAAATATTGATTTAAAAATTTTCCGGCAGAGAGGAAATAGAGAAGGCCAGAGCATCTGCCCAGTATCAAAAGCTGCATGCAGAAGGGAGGACGGCGCAAGCTCAAGCTGACCTTGCTCGACTGGCCATCGTGAAGCAGCAACGAGAAGAAGCTGCTAAGAGAAGGGAAGCAGAAAGAATGGAAAAGGAAGCCGCAAAAGCGAGCAAGACGCAGCAGACACAGCGTGCACTCGGCAAGAAGACTACATGAAGAGTTTTTAATTTATTTTCTCCTCTATGGTCTCACCATCAATCATATATATAAAATGTACAATAATTCTCTCCTTGCCTATCGTTTTATGTCTTATATAAAAATATATTTTTTCTTTTTCATTTTTTATTTTTCTGAAGTTTTCATTTCTTAAAAATTTGTGATATTTGTTATACTCTTTGTCTCTGCTTGGGAATTTTTCATATATCATTAATTACGATGAATCAATGGGTTAAAAGATTGTGGGCAAAGGATGTAAAAACTGAATTAAAAATCACTCTGACGTGTAGAATTATTATTTTTTTTTTATTTGGTCTTTATTCTATGTTATTATTTTTGAAGTAATATAAGGACCAAATAGGTTTGAGACAGCTTTGTAAAATTTACATTATGTAGATCTTTATTATATTTTACATTACGTTTTGTATGTTTGTATAAAATATGTTTGAAAATAAATTAAAATTAAATTTAATTTAGTACATATTAAGTTCTTCAGGGGTAACTGCGCCACGAGCTTATTACATAGCATTAAAAGAATCAGATCCAGTTTGTTAGTGGTCTGTTTTGAATTTTTTTTTAATTGTTTAATTTTTTATTTCACTATTAATTTTAATATTTAAGTTTAAGACTTGAAAATATAGTATAAAAAAATCAATTTTCATTTATGAAACATCTATCTCATAGCATCTTTCCTGAAATACTCAATAAAATAAGAACGTTGTTGAAAATCCTTAAAATGATTTATTAGGTATTCGGGATGATATTGACTTATTCAAAGAATTGTTCCTAAAGTAACTGATTTAAACTGGTTTTGAATTATTGCGGTCTTGTGGACAACGATATTATGAACTGCTCAAGAATTATTACATTTGTATTCACCTAAGCGTTATAATTATTTATGGGAAAATGAATCAACGCTCCTACCCCTACTCCAATTAAAAATATGAAATATTCATAAGAAATGGTAGTAACAAAAAAATAATTTCTTATCGTGTATGATTAGTAAATTAAATACTGTTATACCATTAAATTTATTAAAATTTCCTTTCACTTCCTTATAGTATCAGCAGTAATATTTAAAAAGTTTTATTTATTTAAAATTACTTCATTTAAATACAAATCTGTCATCTGCTGTTTTAAGGTATTTATTACAGTTTATTAGTTTTAATTTTTTTTTCTTAAAAACTAGTCTGTCAATATATGAATAATTAAGGAATATTATAATTTATTTGATCTACTGAAATTCAGTAATTAAATCAGGTGAGTTTCACAAAATTATCTTTTGAGCAGTTCATATCAATAGTTATTTAAAACAAAAAAAGATTCTTTATAAATAAACCATCTTAAGTTATCTGTGGTTGAGTACACAAGTTAAAATATCAACTGATTTGAAAACGTTAAAACTAATTAATTTTCAACTTTCTGGTTTCCTTTTACCTAAATCAGATTAAATTAAAAAAAAAAATGTAATTATGACACATCCTCATTTCAATTATTAAAATATATTTGCATTTAAAAAATAATGTTTATATTTTTAATGGCTTGGTTTTGTTTTGCTCCATACTGTTTTAATAAAATCTCAACATCTTCGCACTACTTAAATTGTATATTACTACTAGGAAAATCACTTTATATTTATTTCCGACTACATATTAATTAAAAATAAATATGTAAATTCACTTTTAGGATTAAGGTTAAACTATAACAGCGTTGGATCTAGTTAATATTAAAGATTGAAGTCGAGGTATTTCAAAAAGAATGAACCGGTTTCATTAAGCTATATTTCTTTAACGAACAGTTGTGCGTAACTTACATATGCCATTTTTATGAATGTATTCCTACTGGAAGAAGTGAGAAGATTAAGATTAAGTAGGGCCATACAAAGAAAGTACCATCCTGATCAATGTTTTGACGAATCCACTGCTGAGGCACGATTTCATTGAAAAATTCTCACACAAGTTCCCATAGGGTGGTGCTTCATCTTGCTGAAAAACGGAGGTTCTCAACATTTGAGTTAGCGTTGTTCTGTGACTGTATTAAGCAAGAAGAGAGGATCGCCCACCTGAGTTGATTGATTGAAATAAAGCTTCCAAATCGATTCATTTCCTTCTCTTTTTTTAAAAACCCGTATCTTTAAATGCTTGGAGCCATTGGAAATATCTTAAGATTTCCACTGGCAAAACTGAACTGTTGCCTTCAATTTGAGTGAGATTGTAAGAACTTATTCATGTAAAGTATAATTAATACTCCAGTCATTTCTAAGAATAACAGTTTGTATTCAACATTCAAAAACTTGAAATATTTATGAACTGTATTAAATACTTATTTAAACTGTCCAAAGTAAAATCTGCTCGCATTACCATATCTTGGTATTAGATGTTATATAAATATATATTAATTATAGCATTTAACTGTTAACGTAGATGTGATAAAATGGATGTGATGTTACAATTGTATATAAATTGTTATCAATTGTATAATATTATAAACATTTTATTTTATAATCTGATCTTATTCAATCACCATCATGCATGAGTATTCTTATTAATCTTGTACTATTGTTGTAATTATTTTTTGAATTCACAAGTTAATGCAATTCTTGTTATTAAAATTATCTGTTATTCACTTTCCCGAATTAACTGTTCTACTGAAGATAAAAGGAAGTATTTTATTATATTCTGAATCAATATTTCTTTTTAAAAATAATACATTAAATATTTCGGTATTGATTTGTGATTATTTTACTCAAAATGTGTTGAGAAAAAATAGTCAAATCATACTGTCCAATTTCAGATTGAAAGCTTATCAGTGAAATAACATTGGCAATTTCTCAATTTTATACTGGCTAATCAAAAGTATTTTTATAAATTCGTAACAAATATTAAATTGTTTTATTTGATCTCGAAACAGATTTCTTTTCTTTATTTTTCATAAAACCACAGGAGATTCAGATTAATAAAAACAATTTGGATGAAATAGTAGCATAGATGTATGTTAGCAATATTCTAATACATATTAACTAAACTATGTTAAGTTTGAAAGTTTAACATTGAATGTTGATTTATAGAAATCTGTGTACTATTCTGTTTCACTGGGTTGATGTGATATAGGTAACAGTATTGCCTTCAGGAAAATCGAGAAGTTCAAGTTGGGATGAAATATGTATGTTTAAGTTTTCTAAGATATTTTAATTTATTTTTAAAAATATTAGAATTAGAGTTTATTGATTAATTTGATTTGTAAGACTGTATGTATGAAAATCAAATGTAAATAAAGATTGCCTGGAAAATTATTCAGGCTTAACTCTATTTATTTGATGTCCTTTTTTAAATGTTCTATTTCATAAATAAAAGTATTAATATTCTGTAAATATATTGAGAGTCAACAACTTTGCATTAAGAATCAAATGGATCAGCTGAAGAAAACATTTAATAAAAATATTACTTTTCTTTTTTTTAAGTTTATGAAATGACTACTTTTATTTATTATTTAAATTTATTTTGTAGAAATGGTAATTTTATTAATATGTTTATCATTTAGCTTATAGACTCATTTACACGATGACAGTGCAGCCATAGCAGGTACTATGATTGTGTAAACTATGAAAATTACTATCATGATATCATTTGATTTCGCTCAATCAGATTTGATGTGATCGTTGACACTACATTTCATGTCAGTGATAGCTACAGTAATGGTAACTGCTAAATGTATATACACTCGAACACTGAACTAAACAGTGGTTGTACTTGCTGTGTGTAAACAATATTCTCATATATTATGTTTTGATTATTTCTGAAATTTAAATTGATTCTTTGCAATGTGTTTTAAATTATTCAATTGTTGTCAGATGATTAAAAACTATACAATCTTAGTTTTTGTAGCATTTGTTGTAAAAAATGTTTACAGTAATAATTATAGGAACGGTGATCAGCTGGATGTCTAGTGCGTTGCCATAATGATCTGGCAAGGCGTTTGATATGGATTAGGTCGAGGAAGTATTGAGGTAACTTATTTTTCTTAAGGATTTTTGAGGAGTGATTAGGGGAGAAAGCAGTCCAGATTGCTTGTTAAATCATGGTGGTAAAAGAATGTACAGTATTGTCAAGGTCTGTGGTTTTCAGGGTTATTCTGAGGTCAATTTGATCGGAAAGGATTTGATGAAAGAGTTTCTAGTTGACTTGACCTCTGATCAGTTACAGTTAAACAAGAAGATTTCCATATGAATAAAGACGACAACTCAATTTGCTAGTTTTTAATATTACATTTTTAAGTCCCTTTTTGAGATCAGAGGAAAACGTTTGACAACAGGTGTTATTTATAGGTTTTTGTGGAAAGAAAGAATTCATATTTTGTCCGTGAAGTATTGCTCTTAACTTAGCTAGATGAAGATTGATGGTGTCTAAGTAATCGAAATGGTTTTATAAATATTTCTCATACTATCAACATATTCAATTCTGGTGTTGATCAAATTATTAAATTTATAAGGCATGCTGGCTGGGTCTTTTTCTAAAAGTTTGAAATCGTATTTTAGCTCTTTTATTTTTCATCTGTTACTTTTTTGTAGATAGTTTTCAATTAATTTTTTATGAATTTTATTACTTTAGTTATTAGTTAAAACTAGGTAAAGTTTGTTTATTTATATAAGAATAATAATTTATGATTTATTATCATTCCAAATTCATAGTATATATATGTATTTTTAAATGTTGATCTCATTTGTAAAACTGCCATATATATAAATTCTGAGTTATATTTAAATTTTTTAAAAAATCAACAAATTTTATAAATAACACATTTAATGGTGAGTTTAGACATTTCACAAACTATGAGAAACACAAATTTTTAAATGGTTGTTTCTCTATGGTAGTGCTTCCATTCCTCGTTTTTGATGATTTCTATTTTCTGTATATATTTTCTGCAAGAAAAACAAAAACAAAAAAAATTGTTTTGGCTTAGCACTAATCAGAGGTGTCCATCTCTCCCCCCCCCCCCCTAAGATTGATGGCACAAGAACCAACTCCTATACAAAGATATTTTATTGCTCACCTTTTTGTAAAAAAAATAACAAAGGAAAGTAGAATTAGAAAAATCGTAGATCATATACAATTACTCTGCAGCCTGTTCCATGTTTTCACCTTGTCCCTGATTTTGAAACTTTTCATTTCGAAAATTCATAACACTGTTGAAAGGTGCCCCCCTCAAAAAATCAAAAACACACCATATGTCCCCATAAAAAATTTCGATGGCGCAACTAGCGCCATAAAACCCCCTTATGGCCACCTCTGGTACTAATGCCAGTAGTAGTTAAGTTGTATAATTGTGTTTTCCATAGTTTGTGAAATGTCTAAACACACCTTTAAAATGACCTGAAGATAAATATTTCATCACTACCATGTGTTTTTTACTTCTCTTTGTTTGACACTAATTATTATTTAGTGTATTTTAAAATTTTTAAATAAAAACAATTATTATTAAATAAAGAATAAATATAGAAATTTTATTGTAGAAGTTAAAGAAATATTATTTTAATATAATGGGCATATTTGATTGTTACATTATATACAAACGTAACTGTTAAAGATCTGGACCAATCAAATTGCTGCATTCAATAAAATTTAGCGCGTTTTTTAGCTCAACAGTTTTAACCAGTCCCATATAGTAAAGTCGGTATGTGTCCGTGGGTGAAATTAATTTTATAATATTTAAAGAGGTTAGTGACGGATTTATTATGAAAGTGATTAAATTTAGTTTCCACTACTTTTAATAGATAAATTCAACATAAACAACCGTCTCGAAATCTACTTTTTTACATCGAGTGGTGGAATTTCAAGATATAGTGAACCCCAAGAAAGATTTCGCCATTCAGGAAATTTCCTCGGTAAGTTTTACATTTTAAACTTTATTTAAATGTTTAAAGAAATAATGACACCGATTAAATTCCTTAATTATTATAATGTATTAATTCTAATAAAGCAGAATATCCGTGTTTGTAATAAATAAATTACTATTTACTTTTTTTTGCCTTGATTTTTGTACGTTGTATTCAATTTGAAGTGTATAGTTTTTTTTTCTATTTGAAATTATGTATAGTGAATTTCTCCATTATAAATTTGTAATACTATGAAAGAATAAAATGATGATCTGTTATATAAAGAACTATTGAAGACAGGCGATAAAAAAATAATTTAGTAAAACAAAAAAAAATTTAAATACGGGATGAACATTTATGGATAACAAAATGACGATAATTGCTTGTACCAGTATTTTCCCTGACTATATACCATTAACAGATCCAGAATTTAATTTTTTTTGGGGGGGGAGGCTTCAGCCCGAAAGCTTTTTTTTCATAAAAATGACGATAATTACTTAGGAAAAAAAGAAAGAAACTAACTATATATATGAAATTGTGTTTAAGTGATTCCTAAAGTTGTTTTAAATGTAATTACAATAATTTAAGAGATAATTTTTTAATATTTTTTTCCGTAAGACATGGTTATATTTTACCATTTTTTGGGGGAGGTGTCAGTCCCAAAGCCCCCTCCCCGTAGATCCGCTCGTGCTGTATACTGAAATAAATAAATAGATTTTTCCTCTCTCTCTCTTTCCCACCTACCAGATAGTCAATTATAATATTCACTTAAAAGTAACACTTGGAGTAATAATTTATTAGACACTAGTAGGCCCGTACGAAAAATTCGCACAGCATATTGTTATCAAATGCCAAATTAATAATAAAATAAAATAATGCAAGGTATCAAAAGATAAAGAAATCAAATGTTACTTTATCGATAAATATAATCGACAAAGAAAACAGATATTAATTTAAATCTTCATTTTTGTTTGGAACTAACATGTTCACAAATTTCACTAAACTGTATCTTTGTTAAAAATAGTCCGATTTCGGTGATTTTTTTTTTCCTTTTGTAGGGAATTTAGTAAACTTTTATATTATCATCGGCATAACCGAGGGAAAAGTGTGTAATTTTTTAGTTATTAGCAAATAAAGTTTGTTTTCTTTCATAATTTGTTTGTCTGAATTTTCGGGGTGATTGGACTATTTTGCCCGCCTGAAGGAGAAGGAAACCTTCAAAATTGTTGGCTCAATCTTGAGATTCGGTGAAAAATTAACAATGATATGGCTTTCCGATCAAAAACACCATCGATAAATAATATAAACTCCTCTCTCGATCATAGAGACCTCAAGCCGACGAAATGAGACATGTATTCAATGACAGTACCACAGTTAATGTAAGGTTGTGTGGGTGCGAACCCTATTGCCTTGCGTTATCTCGAAAATAGTACGTTTTTGGGCTTAAAAACGCAGGATTCGATAGTTCCGGAGGAACTATCCTGGTCTTGCTGTACGCATCAAAATCCTCAAGATCCAATTTGTCCCGTATCGATCTACAGACCTACCACCGTTCCAGTATTGAAGCCTAGCAAAATGTTTATATCGACTTTATTTATTTTAGAAAGAAAAACAAAAGTGGAGAATACGATTCGCTGACCCCCGTGAAATTCTGAATCCAACGGTACCCCATTCATGGTATTTGAGCATGACAGGAGCTTATATTTGGTACAAAACCGATTTCGAGCCTTACTGTAATAATATATGTACGGATAAATTTACGCTACCCTCACTAAAACCCATATCGCCTTAAGGTAAGGTAGGATGAAAATAAATAAATACGTTTAGGAGATATTCACACCTAAAGATTTTCATTGTTATGGATTATTTTTATTAAGTAAATTAGACTTATTTATTTGTTCCAACTACATTACTATTGAAACATAAACACTAAATTCATATTAAATGTTGTTCAAAGTGACTTGAGCATTAAGACAGGCTCGGCATCTTTCTTCAACAGCAGCACTGGCAGAACGGTTGTGTTACTGTGTGTGTAACTGGATATGTGTTATTGTTTCACAAGATTCAATTGTCCTTTTTTATGAAAAATTAATGTAATTGACGGCACTTGCATAGAATTTTCAAAATTAAAACTCCATTAATTTTAACAACCATTTACCTCAGTCAAAATCTGTTTCGCAATATTTTTTCATTGTATAACGTCATTTTGGGATGTGAGAAGGAATCGTTAAAGATGATATTTAAATGAGGACAAGAAAGAGGCATGGCGGATATCAGATGGCAAGGAATTCCAGAAGGCAGTGGATCGGACATTAAAGGAATATTCAAACGTCTTAGTTCTATGGGAAGGGATATAATGGTCGGAAGCACGGGATCTTGTTTTCTGAGAGTGCACCACGAATTTGAACTGTAGGAGACTGTAGATGTAGGAAGGGTT